GGTCACTATGAGACTCAAGTGACTCGCGGCACATAACAACAACAAACAACAGTTATGCATTACCAACTGTTCTTGATTATATACTACTTCATGAAACAGTTCTGTGTAAGCCAATCCTTTGGATTCAGTGAATCTGTGTATTCTTTCCATATTCTTCTTCTTCTCTTTATAAATTTCCCTTCTACTAGGGCACAATTGTGAGTCAAGATTTATTTACCATAAAGGGAAGACACTGCTTCCTATCTCCAGAATTGTCCAGTTTTCCTTCCATTTTCTTTTGATGCTTCTTGCATCATTCAAGATTTTGCCCATGAAAACTTTCAGTATTGCAATTTGGCATTTGAATTTGTTCTTTAGGTTTTCTTAAGTCTGAAAAATGCCAAGCATGTTCTTCCTTCTTGGTTTTCTAATTCCAGGTCCTTGCACATTTCATTTTAATACTTGCTTCGTCTTCTCTAGTTGCCTTTTGAAATCTTCTGTTCAGTTTTCTTACCTCAGCAAGCCTCTCTTTTGTTTTGGCTTTTCATTCCAATGCAAGTTTCAGAGTCTCTTTTGATATCCATTTTGGTCCTTTCTCCACTGTTTTTGTAATGACCTTTTGCTTTTGTCATGGATAATGTCCTTGATGGCATTAAACAATTCAACTAGTCTTCGGTCCTTCCTTTACTGATGGGGCTAGATTCAAAATGAGGAGAAACAGCTGCAAACATCCATTTATAGTTGGAGCATGAATGTACAAAGTATGAATCTAAAAAATTGGAAGATATCAAAAATGAAATGGAAAAAAATAAAGGTTGACATCCTAGGCAATAATAAGCTAAGATGAAATGGTATTAGCAATTTTGAATCAGACAAGCACATGTTGTACTATCTTAGAAACGACAAATTCAAGAGAAACTGTGTGGCATTCATTGTCAAAAAGAGCATTTCAAGATCTATCCTGAAAAACAAAGCTATAAGCAATAGGATATTATCCATACTAATACAAGAAGTTGTTAATACAATCATTATTTAAATATATGCACTAACCACAAAAGCTGAAGTTGAAGAAATTTAGGATTTCTACCAATTTTTGTGACTTTACACATGGACCTCACCTAATGGACCACACAGGAATCAGACTGACTACATCTGTGGAAAGAATTGGATAAGTTCCATGTCAGCAGTCAAAACTAGGTGCTGATTGTGGAAAAGACTGAATTCAGAGTAAAAATTCAAACTGAAGCTGAAAAAAATTAGATCAAATCCACAAGAAACAAAATACAACCTGAATCTACCCCACCTGAATTTAAAAATCATCTCTAGAACAGGTTTGAGGCATTGAACACTAATGATCAATGATCAGATAAGTGACGGGATGATATCAAAGATATTACCTATGATGAAAGTAAAAGGTTTTTACAAAGACAGAGAAGAAAA